GTGATCCACCCGCCTCGGCCTCCCAAAGTGCTGGGATTACAGGCGTGAGCCACCGCGCCCGGCCTGAGGTTTCTCCTTTCTTATTCTTTCTTTGAAAGAACCTGAACAGCTCACCTTCAGGTATAAATTTGAAAACATTTGTGCTGAATATTTTATACCATAACACCATTCATTAACTTTTACTCCTAGCCTAAAGGAATTACTTCAAGGGAGTACAGAGAAATAACTTACTTATCTTCAAGGCTTTGCATCATTAATACTGAATTTTAGTTTAGGGTTATTAAGTATTTAAGGGAAGCTCTGGGGAGACATGCTTTTTGGCCTGTGCCTAAAAAAAAAAAAAAAAAAAAAAAAAAAAAAAAGTAGGCAAGTGGAGGAGGTATAGGTGAGTTCCTACTACACCAGTTAAGCTAAGCTAATTCCTGTTTAGCTTAGTTTTAAGAATTTATAGGAGTAAAAAAGGCTGGGCGTGGTGGCTCACTTTGGAGGCCAAGGTGGGCGGATCACCTGAGGTCAGGAGTTCAAGAGCAGCCTGACCAACATGGTGAAACCCCGTCTTTAAAAGAAAAAAAAAATTAATTAATTTTTAAAAATTAGAAAAATTAAAAGGAGCCGGGCGCGGTGGCTCAAGCCTGTAGTCTCAGCACTTTGGGAGGCCGAGGCGGGTGGATCACGAGGTCAAGAGATCGAGACCATCCTGGTCAACATGGTGAAACCCCATCTCTACTAAAAATACAAAACATTAGCTGGGCATGGTGGCACGTGCCTGTAATCCCAGCTACTCAGTAGGTTGAGGCAGGAGAATTGCCTGAACCCAGGAGGCGGAGGTTGCGGTGAGCCGAGATCGCGCCATTGCACTCCAGCCTGGGTAACAAGAGTGAAACTCCATCTCAAAAAAAAAAAACATTAAAAGGAGAATATGTCAGATGAATCCTTTAGTGGTAGATTTGGCAGTGTGATTGGCCGACATGAAAATTTATTGTTAAAGCATTAAATATAGGCCCTGATTTATGAAGCATAGTCAGTAAATCATCTCTTCACTCCCCGGTTTTTTGTTTTTGTTTTTTTTTGGGGTTTTTTTTAAGATGGAGTTTCACTCTTATTGCCCAGGCTGGAGTGCAATGGCATGATCTCGGCTCACCGCAACCTCCACCTTCCGGGTTCAAGCGATTCTCCTGTGTCAGCCTCCTGACTAACTGGGATTACAGGCATCTGCCACCATGCCTGACTAATTTTGTATTTTTTACTAGAGACAGGGTTTCTCCATTTTGGCCAGGCTGGTCTTGAACTCCCGACCTCAGGTGATCTGCCCACCTCAGCCTCCCAAAGTGCTGGGATTACAGGCATGAGCCACTACGCCTGGCCACTCCCCAGTTTTTAAGCCAAAATCAGCAACACTGAGAGAATATTAGATTAAAGGCTGGTACAAAAGAGAGACTTAGGTTAACAAGTTAGTGGGTGCCTGAAGGCATGTGGGAAGAAATGTGGTAAAGGTGTGGAGAGGATGCTAAAACTATTCCTTACATGACTTAAAATTAGGGGGCTTGGTGTGATGGCTCGTGACTATAAAACTGGAGCACTTTGGGAGGTCACAAAGCTGGAGGATAGCTTGAGGCCAGGAGTTCAAGACCAACCTAGGCAATAGACCAAGACCATGTCTACCAAAAGAAAATTCAAGAAAAAATTTTAGGTTGGGCATAGTGGCTCACTCCTTTAATCCCAGCACTTTGTGAGGCTGAGGCACGCAGATCATGAGGTCAGGAGTTCTAGACCAGCCTGGCCAATGTGGTGAAACCCTGCCTCTACTAAAAATATAAAAATTAGCTAGGCATGGTGGTACACTCCTATAGTTCCAGCTACTTGGGAGGCTGAGGCAGAAGAATCGCTTGAACCTGGGAGGCAGAGATTGTAGTGAGCCAAGATCACTCCACTGCATTCCAGCCTGGGCAACAGTGAGACTTTGTCTCAAAAAATAATAATAATTTTTAATAAATTAAATACCACCAGGTGTGGTGGTATGCTCCTGTAGTCCCAACTATTTGGGAGGCAGTAGGAGGATCTCTTGAGCCAGGAGTTTGAGGCTGCAGTGGCCTGTGATTGCACCACTGCACTCCATCCTGGATGACAGAGTCTTAAAGAAAATAAATAAGTAGGCCGGGCGCGGTGGGTTACGCCTGTAATCTCAGCACTTCGGGAGGCCGAGGTGGGCAGATCACAAGGTCAAGAGATCGAGACCATCCTGGCCAACAAGGTGAAACCCCATCTCTACTAAAAACACAAAAATTAGTTGGGTGTGGTGGCACGCGCCTGTGGTCCCAGCTACTTGGGAGGCTGAGGCGGAAGAATCACTTGAACCCAGGAGGCGGAGGTTGCCATGAGCCGAGATTGCGCCACTGCACTCTAGCCTGGCGACAGAGCAAGACTCCGTCTCAAAAATAAATAAATAAATAAGGAAAAGAAAATAAATAAGTAAAAATGAAAATAAAGTAAAATATAAACTGTCAAGGCCTGTTATATGTTCAGAAAATAGTGGGAAAGTTAGTATTAATCTTTCTATGACTACTGTCTATCACAGGGCTTGACAAACTGTACTGCTTGTTTTTATAAATAAAGTTTTATTGGAACACAGCCATGCCTTCCTTTACATGTTGTTTGTAACCACTTTGATGCTACAGTAGTAGAATTCAGTAGTTATAATAGAGATGAAATGATTTGCCTGTTTACCAGCTTAAAACATTTACTATCTTGTCCTTTAAGAAAAAGTTTGCCAAACCCTGTTCTAGCATCATATGTAGAATATATTAGGTTATTAATAAATAGTTGGGGCTTAGTGACTCAGGTCTGTAGTCCCAGCACTTTGGGAGGCTGAGGCAGGAGGATCTCTTGAGGCCAGGAGTTTGAGGCCACACTAGGCAGATGCTGTTTCCACAGAAAATAAAAATAGTAGCCCAGCATGGGGGTGTGCATCTGGAGTCCCAGCTACTTGGGAGGTTGAGGTAGGAGGGTCATTTGAGCCAGTGAGGTGAAGGCTTAAGTCATCAGTAATCTAACTGCCAAAGCCAACAAGATACTTTTCAAGTGTTTTTCTCTACTCCTGACATTGTTTATTACTTCTTCCCTGAAACACCTTCTCTCCTTGATGATGTCCAGCCACTCCTCAGTGCTGTCCATGGGTTTGTCTTCCTTTGTCCAACCATTAAATGCTTATGTTCTCTAGTAGCTCAGTGTTCAGCTCTCATCTTAATTTATACTAGAGAATTTTAACTTGAAGTACAAGTATTATGTGAACCTCCAGAAAGGGTGTTTATGTGCATTTTTCTGGGGAAAAGGGACTATAGTTTTTATTACATTCTGAAAGAGGCCAGAGATTCTAAAGGAGGAAGGGAAAATCCACTGTTTTCCATTGGAGATCTAATTCCATTACCAATGCTTTGACTACCACCTATACATGGATATATGACTTACATCTGTCTCCAAACCACACTTTTTCTGAGTTCTAGACTTAAATCTACTTGACAAATGTATATAATTAACCGACGACTTCAGCCAGAGAAGTCTCAGTGGTGAGCTGAGGACCAAAACCAGATTAGGACGGGCTGAGAAGTGAATAGGAAGTAAGGAAGTGGAAATACTGAATGTTGATCATTCTTCACAGTAATATGATTGTAAGGGGAAGGAGAAAAAAAGCAATAGTAGGAAAGGACAGTCAGTAGAAGGATTTTTAGAAAGTGGCCAGATGGTGATGAGGAAGAGGTTGAGAAATGAGCTGACCATCAAACAAGGTCCCTGGAAAGATGAAATGAAGAACATTTGTTGAGAGGCTCTGAGATTGGAGGAGACTGGGTGAAGACAGATACTGGATCTGTCTTGTTCATCACTGTATTTCTAGCACCTAGCATAATATTTGATGCGTAATATATGTGTCATAAATATTTGAATTTAAAGCTTGCCTTAGAGGAAGGAACGTGAAGGTAGTGTGCTTGATAAGAAAGAGGTAAGGAGAGGGAGTCTTGAGGATATGGGTGGTGGTTTGTAATAATTATTGTGGTATATAAGAGGGAGAACAGGCCAAGTAAGGTTTCAAGGAGGGATTACAGACCCACTGACTTACCTTAAGTTTGGTTTCTACCCATGAGTAACCCTTTTCAGTAGGTAACATACACGTAAAAGGCTGTATACTAATGTTGTTTCAGTGAAAATTAGCAGTATGTGATTTAAAACTTGAGAGAGATAAACCACTTCAACCTGACAGAATTGAGGATTGCCACTTAAAATGGGAAATACATCGATGAAGGATTTAGGGTTTGATGCCGGGTGTAGTGCCTCACGCCTGTAATCTTAGCACTTTGGGAGGCCGAGGCAGGTGGATCCCTTGGGGCCAGGAGTTCAAGACCAGTCTGGCCAACATGGTGAAACCCTGTCTCTACTAAAAATACAAAAATTACCTAGGCGTGGTGGCATATGCCCGTAGTCCCAGCTACCCAGGAGGCTGAGGTGGAAAATCACTTAAACCCACGAGGTGGAGGTTGCAGTGAGCCTGGGTGACAGAGCGAGACCCTGTCTCAAAAAAAAAAAAAAAAAAAAGAGATTTAGGGTTTGGAAATGGATTGAGAAAGGACCGGCCTTTAAGCAAGAGCATGTACCAGAAGCTTGGTTTGGAAAATGTTGTTAATCTACATGCAGCTGGCAGTTTCCTGCCACTACATCAAATTGCAGTCCTTTAAGGGATTCGTTTTTAAATTTTGATATTTTCATTGCTTTTCCAACCACAGGATTTATGACCAGAGGAAAATTGATGAGAATGAGAACAATGGAGTACTCAAGAAGTTCTGCCCTCATCACCTGGTAAGATTCATGAAGGGCCAGTTGCTCCAGGCTTCCCTGACTCGACCCCAAGGCTACACTTGAACTTGGGGGTATGGTGGGAATAGCTTGGACTTTCAAGTCAGTCATCTGGATTTGAATCCTGGCTTTACCACTTACCAGCTTTGTGATTTTGGCAGTCATTTCACTTCTGATAGTCTCAGTTTTTAATCAACAAAATAGAAATAAAAATAACTGCCTTGCACCTTGATGGTGAGGCCTAATGAGACAGTGTACAAAAAATGGCCAGCACACAGATGACAAGCAAGAGAAAGCCCCAAGATGCTACCCCCTGAGGTGGTCATGTTTCATCAGTTATACTCTTGTCTCTGTCTGTCTTTCTCAAATCTCTGGGAGAAGATATAGGGGACTTTGAAGGAAAAGCTGTTTCCTGAAGATGGTATAACAAATGGGGGGGTGGGGCATCAGTCAGTATCTGCTCCTTATTGCAGGTGAACAGTGAGTC